GCTGCCGGCTTTGAGTCACCCCTTGGTCCCTGGGAGCCGCAGTCTTCAGATTGTTGAGGCGCTGTGTGAGGAAGCCGGTCTGAGCTGGAGAGGTTCTGTCGCCTCCAGGACTCTGGAGGCCCGGGTGTCATTGGAGGGAGTTTTCCCTGCCTCTGCCAGTGATTAGGTTTACGAATTTGCCCACAGGTGCTGTGAATTCCTTACCTCTTCGACAGTCTGCTCCCCTTCCCAGATTCCAAAAGTCGGTGGTTTTATTTCCACAAATAAGGAATTAGTAGTTGAATCCAGGCGTGGCCAGACTGGCCTCTCCTCCTTTTATCTCCTGAATACTCTTAGAGTCTCCAGCTTGCCTCCTTCATCACTCCAGTGCAAAACTTGCTTGACGTGTTGGTGTTGCAGAAGACAGGTGTCCATTTATCTACTCTCATTTCGTTCTAATCCATTTTAATATGTTTTTTTGTGTTTTTTGGGGGTTTTCTCGTTTTTGTTTTGTTTTTTTGAGACAGGATTTCTCTGTATTGTTTTGGAGCCTGTCCTGGAACTCACTCTATAGACCAGGCTGGCCTCGAAGTCACAGAGATCCGCCTGCTTCTGCCTCCCCAGTGCTGGGATTAAAGGTTTGTGCCACCAACGCCCGGCTGATATACTTTTATATCGTTAGTTATTTAGACTGATTATTGACTAGTGATTGGGAGACAGCTCATAGATTAAAAGCCAACTCTTTGTCATGGCCTGCACACTAGGCTCCACTGTTCTGGGCTCCTCTATGTCTCCAGCCCAGTCTCCTGCTCCATGTATACTGAGTGAACCCTGTTTATTTGTAATGGATGGACATAGACCAGTTGAGCTCTTACTCTCCACGGTGACCCCTGGCATGACTGAAGTTCATTCATATAAGAACTGGGAGACTTGTACACAACTTGTACACATTGAATTGATGTCACTCATGTGGAAACTGGAAACATTGTGCCGTGAAAGCACTGAATGAGTCTCATTATGACATTTTTCTACATGTATGTCATTGTACTTTGCTCTTACCCCATACGTACACTTTCCCCTTCTCTGCCTCTTGTTGCACCCTCCCCTCCCTCTACCCTCCTTCCTCTGACACAGGCACCCTTCTGCCTTCATGTCTGATATATCACCTTGGTGTTTGATGCTAGGCTGGGTTTATTAGGTGTGTGAAAGTTCTGGCCAGTTTTAGTTTTAGGTATTTCTTGTTTGTGCTGTCTTTTATCTGTTTTCAAGATGGAGAAACGGGAAGAAGAAAATGTTGAGTGACAAAGGGCAGAGGGACATTCTGTGTGTGCTAGGTGCCCCTTATCTTGGAGCCATATTCTGTTGGGAGGCCAGGCTGACATTCAATTTGACTAACAGATACCCTTTGTCACAGATGGAAAGACTATCTTCCAGTTGGACAGCGGATGCCTGGGACTCGTTTCATTGCTTTCAAAGTTCCTTTGCAAAAGGTAAGTGAAAGTTAATCCAGCATTTTTCAAAAATCTACATTCCTGTGGAGAACTCTGGCTCTCGACCTAATTGCTCTCTATTTTCCTGTTTTATGTCACTGAAATGAGATTCACTGATCCGTAGAATCTACGTCCATATCTCATTTTAAGAAAAAGAATATAATTCCCTAACTATAATATGAATAATATTGTATTTTGTGTCCACCTGACTAAACTGCATAGTTCAGTATTCACTGTGTTGATAAGTTGATTACTGGAAAGTCAGTAGAATTTGTGGGGTTTTTTTTTTGTTGTTGTTTATTTTTTGGCTTGTTTGTGAAATGCATTTTAGTTCTAAGGCTTAGACAGATAGGAACAGGCTTTGTTTTTTCCTTACCTATTTAATGTTGGCTAGGACATTCTGAAGTCATTCAAGCAGGGGGACACAAACACAGAAATATGGATGTCAAAGTGAGCTCTATTTCCCTACCACTGCAAGAGAGACTGTTACGAGCTTCTAGAAGAGCCAGAACCTGCCCTTTGAGTCTCATTGTGTGCTTATCTCATGGGGCTGGAATAAATACGTAAGGTGGTGCAGGACTTTAAGCAGGTTTTCCCTTTTACCTCACTCTCTGACAGAAATACGAAGCAAAGCTTATGCCAGAAGAATGTTTTTCTCCTTTGGATCTTTTTAATAAAATTCAAGAACAAAATGAAGAGCTTGGATTGATAATTGATTTAACATATACGCAGCGCTATTATAAAGCAGAGGTAAGTAAAACCTCTAAATGAAAAAAAAAAAAAGATAATTCATAGTAATTCAATAGTTTCCATCCTGTGCTGATGTGAAAACCAAGCCTCATTCATGGGTAGTAATAATTTTAAAGGAAAAGCAAAGTTTCCCTAATTTCATGTTGAAATGAGATTGGAGACTAGGCATAGTGTGAATGACTACAATCCCAGGTCTTAGGAGTCTAAGGCAGGAGGATCACAAGTTCAAGGTCAGTTTGGACTATATAGTTAAATCTTAATAACACACACACACACAGAGACATGAATTGAGCTATATGTACTGGTTATTACCTAATTCTCTTTCATAGCAAAGCTCTGTAACAGTTGAACATTCATTCCCCATTCTCCTACACTCCAGATCCCTAGTAACCTTACCTGCTTTATTATATGAATTTCCCAGTTTTAGTAGCTTATACAAATAGCATAGTGTAACATATATTTAAATTTTTTAATTAAAATATTAATTCCATCATTTTTCTCCTTCCTTTAACCTCTCCCAACCCCTGCTTTTCAAATTCGTAGCCTCTTACTCTTTATTATTGCTTCATGTATATTGCAAATAAATATACAAATGTAACCCTGTTTAGTTTTTTTAGGGTTGACCACTTTAGGGTGCTTATATCTGAAGACTAATTCTCCCTCTCTCAGCAGTTCTTAATTGCTGTAGTTCATCTGGGGGTAGGGCCCTCTGCAATTGCTCTCATCCATGTTGTCATGTCAGCTGGTATTACTGTTCAGATCTTGTTTAAGTACCCATATTGTTGAAATTTCATGGGTGGAGCCTTCCCTGTCGAATCTATAAAATGCAGTCTTGCAGCTGACTTTCTGGTGTTTGGGCACTTAACAATCTTTCACCCTCCTCCTTCTGAGATGCTCTCTGAGCCTTAGATGTAAGGGTTGTGCTTTAGATATATCAGCTGGGGCTGGCAGCTCACACAGTCAGTTGTTCTCTGCATTTTGACTAGTTATGGCTTTTTATAATAATTTGTGTGCTGTAGAAGGGAAAAAGTATCATTGTGTGAGAGTTATACTTATCTGGAGATTTTTGTTGTTTTTTTGAGAGGGTTTCTCTTTGTGAAAACTTTGGTTGTTCTAGAACTCCATTTGTAGATCAGGCTAGCCTTGAACTCAGAGAGATCTGCCTGCCTCTGCCTCTGCCTCCCAAGTGCTGGGATTAAAGGGGTGTGCCACCACCACCCATCCAGTAATTTTTTTTAGGGTTTTTATTGTTGTTTTATGAGTGTTTGCCTGCTTGTATATATGTATACTGCAGACATGCCTAGTGTCTGTGGAGGCCAGAAGTTGGCATTACATCCCCTATAACTGGCATAACAGAAGATTGTGAAGTGCTGTGTGGGTGCTGGGAATTGAACCTGAGTCTTCTGCAAGAGCAGCCAGTGCTCTTAACTATTGAACCATCTCTCCAGCTTCAGTATCATGTACTACTTGTCTTTTTGTGTGAATTATTTCATTAATTATGTCTCCAATGTTTATTGAAGCACATATCAGAATCTTTTTTCTGGCTTGGTATTTATGTGTACATGCTATGTTTCATTATGGCTCCTGTCTATTTCACTCCATTCTGCCTTCCTTATCCCCCGCTTCTCTGTGTGTTTGTGTGTGTGCTGTGGGGAGTGTTGTTTGTGTTGTTTTCATGAGAAAGGGTCTCACTGTGTGGCCCTGACTGGCCTGGAATTCATTATGTACAGTAGGCTGCTCTCCAATCCACAAAGATCCGACCACTCCTGCCTCCCATATGTTGGAAGTTAATGTGTGTACTACCATGCCCAGCATGTTCTTTCTTATTTTAAAGGAACCCTCAAAGATTAGAGAATGGGGTATGTGGGTATATGTAAAATAAAATACTTTTCCCTTAGTATCAGTCCTTTATGTCAGATTTGCAGTCTTATAGCTCCTAAATGACATACAAATTTTCAGTTTGAAGTAGGTTGTCATCTGATTAAGTCTAAAGATTGCTGTCCATGTCTCTTTCACTTTGTTTTTGTCCCTTTCTTGAATCTGAGAGATCCAGCCAGCCTGTACTCTCTAAATGTTAGCTGTGTGCCTCCTTGGCTTGGTAGAGTCCATTGTTCTCCATCAGTGGGCTAGCACAACCAGAATTAGGATTGTGTTTCCCTTTCTCCTTTTCTCCCTCCTTCTGTGCCTCTAGTCCCTGGTTTCCCTTTCCTTCCCTTTCCCTTTCCCACCTTTCTTCCTTATTGTTTTGTTTTGGGTTTGGTACTTGAAGCACTCTTAGTATGTAGCTCTGGCTGACCTCATGCTCTCCTTGCCTCAGTCTTTCTAATGCTGGAATTAAAGATGTACAGTACTCCACCTGCCTTGATTATTATCATTATTATTATTATTTTTAATTTATTTGAGATAGTGTCTCTCATAGCCAGGGCTGTCCTCAGTTGCTGAGGATACCCTTAAACTCCTGATCCTCCTGCCTCTACCTCCCAAGTACTGTGATTACAGGCATGGACCACCACACCCAGATTGATTTCCTTTTCTAAACAGCCTTTATTTGTTTTAAATGTGTATGTTTGTGCGCTATCATGAGTTTATGTGCACCACATTTATGCTGGAACCTTTAGAAGTTAGAAAAGGGTGTGAGATCCACTGGAACTGGAGATTCAGACTGCTATATGGGTTTTGGGAACCCAACCATCATTCTCTACAAGAGCAGTAAAGGCTCTTAACTGGGAGCCATTGCTCTGGCTACCTTAATTTTCTTTTTAATAAGACAGTTTCCAGTATGTCTTTATATTTTGAGATGTGCCTACTGGGGCACAAGGACTACAAGGGTGTGCCACCATGCCTGACATGAGACATTTTCATAGGGGATCATGCGTCCTTCCATTAGGGGCATACAATAAGTGGTTATCTCTTATGGTATTAGTAATTATTGATGACTAATCTATTCATTCCTTTGAAGCTTCAAAAAGTTGATTTTCTTTTCTCTTTTTTCTTTTTTGAGACAGGCTCTTGCTGTGTAGCCCAGGCTGACTTCAAACTCAAGATTTTCCTGCCTCACCCTCCCAGGGTCTAGGATTACATACAGGTGTATGCCACCATACCAGGCTATTCAAGGTGAATGTTATCATTCATGTTTCATCTAATGACGTTTCTGCTTCTTTCTTTACTCAGTGATGTCAACGGGATTCTTTCTCTGGGTTAACAACTTTCAGAGTAGTATCTTGGGTTCCTAACACCTGCCAGTAGTGACTAATTAAAATTTATTTAATTAGTTAACTTTTTTTCTATCATTACAAACTCCCCTGCAGTTGCTTTTTCCAGTTGGAGGACAGGACGAGGCCTCTCTTTAGATAGTTGGAGCTTCTCAGTTTGGCTCCTAAAGCCTTTTTGAAAAGTATTCTTGAGAATTATACATATAATTTGTGTTTTGATCACAGTCACCCCAACACCACAGCTAATTCCTCCTCGTTTGCACTCCCAATGTCATGTCCTCTTCTTTTTTATGTGTATTGCCCACTTTTTTGTACGTTCACAACATACTTGAAAGTGCCTGTGGATGGTAGAAGAAGGTATTAGATCCCCTAGACATGATTTACAAGTGGTTGTGAGCTGCCTGATGTGGGTGCTGGGAACCGAACCCAGGTCCTTGTGAAGAACAGCAACCCTCTAACCCTCTAACCCTCTTAAGCTCTAACCCTCCAAGCCATTTCTCTACCCTACCCAATGCCACAGTGAGTTCAAAATCAGTGCTGCCCAAGTGCACATGGGTGCAAAGCCATCTTCTGGAGCATGGCCAACTATCCAGGGCCATGTTCCTGAAGAAAACTGATGCCCCCTTCCCAGGTAACTCTCAGCTGCCAAAGCTCCTCAGCTAGATTAAACCATTTTTTAGTCCTAATCTTTTGACATGTGCTAATCGTCTCTGATCGCTTTGTCTGAGGTAAAGAGTTCCAGGCTCATCTTAACTGTTTCCTCCCCAGCCTTACTCAGCCTTTGCAGAAAGTGTTGTTTCCTTTCAGTGGGGGTAATTTTGAGTGTCAGGTGTATTCATTGCTAATAGACCGACATTGTTCTGAAGCTTTCCTTTTGGGCAGAGCTAGGAATTTTGTGTGTAAAATCATGATAATGCTTTCCACTTAAATCCAGAGTTATGTATTTTTCACCTAACCTCTCTTTTTTCCCCCTAAGATTTGTTGTGTGTGTGTGTGTGTGTGTTTGGTGTTGTGTGTGTGTGTGTGTGTGTGTGTGTGTGTGTGTCTGCTGTGTGTGTGTGTGTGTGTGTGTGTGTGTGTGTGTGTGTGTGTCTGCTTGTCTGTGTCTGCCACATGTGTGCAGGTGCCTGCTGAGGTCAGAAGAGGTCCGGATCCTCTGGAGCAGGAGTTACAGGCTGTTGTGAGCCATCAGACATGGGTGCTGAGAACTGAACTACGTCCTCGAAGAGCAGCAAGCACTCTTAAGCACTGAGCCATCTCTCCAGCCTCTCACCTACCCTCTTCTTTCTGTTATCCACAGCTCCTTTTGCCCAGCTCATGACTACTTTGTGAAGGCACAGAAAGGTGACATAATTAGCTAGAACTGTCCACATAAGTTTTAGTCACACCATATATACCCTCTTTCACATGGAATTTGGTATGTTTTGTATACCTAGTGACTGTCCTGTAGTTTTAATGAAGATCAGGCTCTTTAGTCAGAATTGCTGTCACAGTAAGTTTATCATCAGTTTATATTTATGCTCCTCAAGCCTTTCATATATACCTACAAATAAAATAATGTACATTTTTCTTTGTTTTGCTTTGTAGGATTTGCCAGAAACTATTTCTTACATAAAAATTCTTACAGTTGGCCATCAGGTACCCAACAGCAACACTATTTTTAAATTCAAAAGTGCAGTTAAAGAGTTTTTAAAGAAAAATAAAGACAATGGTGAGTCCTTGTGGTTTCTTTTTCTTTTCTGTCTGAACTCTTGTATGTTTTGAATAGGTTTGAAGACTTTTTAAAATCTCGAGAGAGTGTGTGTGTGTGTGTGTGTGTGTGTGTGTGTGCGCGCGTGCGTGCGTGCGTGCGTGCGTGCGCGCGCACGCGCGCGCTTGTAGCTATGTGCATATGAATGCAGGCACTTAAGAGTTCGGAGGCTTCAGATTCCCTCCACCTGGAGTATTGGGCAATTGTGAGCCGTTCCACATGGGTGGTGGAAAACTGAATTTGTGCCCTCTTCAAGAGCAGATGTACTGTCACGTACTGAGCTGCCATCTCCCCAGTGCAGTTTCCGAACTTTTGATATTTCAGACTTTTGATATTGTTAATATTCTATGTTAGGTCTATTGTCTTTGAAAATGCCAGCTGGTAAGTGTTGGCCATACAGAAACAAAACTTGAGTGATAAATGTGTAGTATCATGGGAGTGTTTCCCTTTTCCTTTGTTAAGGGGTGAGATGTAGAAGATTTAAGAATCTTGAAGTCTTCAAATTACATAAAGAGACAACAAAAGACAAAGTTAGTTAAGAGTGAGTCAGTCCCCTGGAAGACCAGTGTTCAGAGTGAAGCAGTCTCCCAGGAGATCAGAGCATAAGTAGGCCAATAGAATTTCATCTTTGCCACACACACTTCAGGTGTTTCCGCTGTTTGTCCATTCTGAGTGCATTTGTGGTTATTTACCAGCAAAAATGAAGGTGGGCTGAGGTTTGTAGCTTAATTGCTGAGCACTTGCCTGGCTTATATAGGCCCAGTTTGAGACTTCAGCATTGCACACCACATAAACACATTCCAGTTTCCTTTTCATGGTAAGACAAATGGCTTTGTCTAATGCAGCATTAACCTGATGGGTGCTTCTACACTTTGCATCATTGAGTCTAACCAATACTTGCAAAGTTTCCACAACAATGAGATTTTGGTAGGTGATTCTCAATAACGTGTTTCTAAAGCCACTTTACTTTTCGACATATCAGTAATATTTCATTAATTTGTGTTACTCTTCAGAAAATTGACTTTAACTTATTTTTGGTGTATCTTGTTTCCTTAATTCTGCATTGCTTGTTTTATAGACAAACTTATTGGTGTCCACTGCACCCATGGCTTAAACAGGACTGGCTACCTCATTTGCCGGTAAGTTGCCAACCCAAAAGCCAAACGTGTTTAGTGTGTTTGTCTGGTTATAGTGGTAATGTAAACTTAAATAGAAATGGATGAATTATTGAGCAGTGTTGTCTCTACCCAGAGACTGCCATCAGCAATAGCATTGTAGACTTCATAGATGCAGATAGAAATTCAGCTGTATGGCTTAAAGTACAGTAGACATTCAGGCTTACAAATTAATATGCAGTAGGTATCTTCCTGTGGAAGTATTTGGAGACCTTATTTTTTAAAGGTTATATTGGTATTTTGAATACTGATGAACATGTAAATCAGAATTTGGGGTATGATAAAACATCAAAGTGGTATGAGCATCTTTGGATCCACATATCACTGACTCAGCAGTAACCTAACTTGACATGCAGATTCTGAATTAGGATGCAGTCTGATGGTTCTTAAGAAATTGCTGTGCTGTGCTGTGTTGTGTGGTGTTACATTTGTCCATTCAGGTAAAGAAATTTAACCTGCCTCTGAAGAAATAAAGACTATAATAATAAAAATAGTAAGATATAGAATATCACTGTCAAGTGCTATGGAGGACAGGTACGTGGTGCCAGGATGGGAAGGCTCTAACTTACCTTGTCAAGAAGACAGTACGTTTCTGCGGAAGGTTTGAGAGATATCTGAAGGTTGACTAGGACTAGCTGAGTAGGGACACTGAAGGACTATGGGCGTAAGGTTCAGCCAGGACCCTAACTTAGGATAGCATAATCTTCACTGGAAGAGGTGGACGATGTAGTAAGTACGGCAGAGAAGTGGAGCTGCAGCTGCAGGCAGGAGCCAAGTTAGGCCATGCAAAGCGGTGTTTTGGTCTGTTGTTTCTTTGTTGTTGAACCTTTTTGGGGTGTGTTGAACCCATCTATTTCTGCTGAGTAAAGAATGCGCTAGAGAGGTAGAGTAGTTAGGTTTTGTGTGAATTGAAGTATAATGGAAGGTGAGAATGAGGGGAAAGTGGGTGACAGTGATGGTAGTAGCTCCTGTTTCTGACCCATACAGTTGGTATTTTTAGCTATGTTATTTTTTGTCCCAGTTGATTTATATGTTGTTGGTTCCTGATGAATACATGGTAATATTAAGGAAGCCTCCTGTTTCTTACTTAGTTCACAAAGTATTTTGATGAAAATGACTACTGAATCTACCTTTTAAGCATTTGCCAGTTTGGTCATACATTTCCTTCGTTAGTTATTATATTAATGTAAGCACTTTTGTTAATTTCTAAAGTTGGTCAATCTTGGGATAGTCTTTTTCTATGGTCATGGCATGTTATTCTGTAACTGTTGGGTTAGATATATAGTATTTTTTTAGGATTTGTATGTCTCCACTTGTAAGTGAAATTGGACCTGTTTTGATTTTTCTTTTCGTATATTTAAGTGACCCAAATTATGTTGTTTTGTTAGATATTTGATTGATGTAGAAGGCATGAGGCCAGATGATGCAATTGAATGTAAGTATGGCGGGGGCGTCACTATTTTTCCCTTCCTATAAAAGCTAAAGGTGGAGGTGTAGAGCCACTTTTCAATTTTTGGAAAAAAAATTTCATATAATCCAATATAAGATGTCAAAAAGAAAATGAAGAGGAGAAGGAAGGGAAGCTACCTCTTGGGGCTGGGGATGTGGCTCAATGGTAAAGCACTTGCTCAGCATGTGTGGAACCCTGAGTTTGATCTCCAGTACCAAAAGAAAGAAAAATAATAGTAATATAAGGTGGTCTTTTGCCAAAAGCTTATAAAGGAACATATCTGCAAGATAAGCGAGATGTAAAACCTAATGATTAGTCAGTGAATATGAGCTTTGGTTTGCTTTCTCTGGGTAAGATTTCTTTTTGTGCAACTATTTCTAATGGTTCATCTTCATCCACTCCTCAGTATTCAACAGGTGCCGGGGGCACTGCATAGAAAGACAGAACTACATTGAAAGCCTGCAGAATCGTCATGTCAGAAAGTAAGTCTTCCATTTTGCTAAGTGAGATTTGTGGTTAGTGTTATGGGTGGGACCTTGGTGGGTAGTCCCGTGACAGGTGAGGGACAGATATGCCATGCAGACTGAACTCACTTGGGAAGCTTTACCTAGGGGAAGGGAAGGAAGAGCAGGGAGAAAGGGGAGGGGGGGGGAAGAGAGAGGCAAAGACTTTCCTGTCTCTTCAGAGGAACAGCGAGAGAAAGAGTGGGAGTAGGCAGAGCTTGTCTCTTAAAGGGACGTTTTTGTAAATGCATACAGAGTCAGGGTACTGCTTGCCATTCGCCCCAAGGGTGGGGCCAAAGTGTGCTCACAGTTTGGAAAAGCGCTTTTCTGTAATCCAAGTAGCACATTACCCTGACATCTTGCTTGCTCACTTGCTGAGTAAAACCTAAACAAATAGGAATGGGGGAGTTGAGATCCTGTCTTCACAAATGAAAGTACATAGTCACTGAACTGGCCACTGGAACTGGAATCTGGTGACACTGTGAGATACTTCTCTTTTAGGTACCGGAATGTTAGTACATCTAGGTCAGGTGGTCTTGAAGACTCAGCACATCTTATGGACCAAGTCAACAGCACTAACAAGCCTGTGAGCCAAGGACCTCGGAACAACCAGCCTGCGGGTCGTCCACCACCTTCCCGGCATTTTCATACCCAGACCCAGAATGCACAGCAGTCGTTCAGGTACCCGTGCTTCCCCCTTCCTTAGAGTTGAGATGGAAACTACTTCAAACCAGGAAAGCACTCTGTAATAATGACCAGCAGTTGGGATTTTCCTCCTGATCACTGTCAGCCAGTAGGGCTCACACCGCTCTGCAGATCAAATACTATGTGGGAAATGTGCTCTTCAGAGGCAGTGGAGAAAGGAAATTTTAGTATTTTTAAATTTAGTTTAATCCAGGAAGAGTTAGATAGGATTCTAGAAAATAAAATCTTACATTCTTATGTATATGCACGAGCGTGTACATGTGTGTACATGAGCACACGGAATCAGACCCAAGATTCTATTTCTGAGATACATCCCTAGGCTTTAAAAAATCCTGAACTCTTAGGCTCTATAGTTTTTGGAACAAGGAAGGCTATCATTTAAAGAACAAATACAAAACCAGGTAGGGTAGTGGGTGCCTGTAATCCTGGCACTGGGAAGTACAGACAGGAAGATTAGAAGTTCATCATTAGCTGTTCAGTGAGCTTGAGGTCACCTTTCCCCCCCCCCCCCCCCCCCCCCCGAAAAAAAAACAAAAAACAGAGCAAATTTTGAAAGATAATAAAATCCTGATATAGTTCCAAATGATTTGAGCAGATTAAATCATACAAGTATTTCACTTGAGAAATGGGAAAATTCTCAATTCAGTTATTAGAATTCTCCAGAGAATGGAAGAAAGAGAAGGAAGAAGGGAGAGTGGACAAGTAGATGAGAAGGGGCCTTTACTAGAGTGTGTGACTATAGGTTGAGAAGTCCCTCAACAAGCCCTCTGTAAGCTGGAGACCCAGGGTTGCTAGTAGTGTGGCTCAGACCCAGGGATCATAGCAATTCTCTGTAGGAGTCCAAAGGAAAGGCCTGAGAAGCTTTGGGGAGAGGCTGAAGGGCAGGAGAGAGGATACATTTGCCTTTCTTCTGCCTTTGTAGTTGTGTTGCAATCCCAGCCAGGTGGTTGGTGCCTGCCCATATGGAAGGCACATGTTCCGTACTCAGTCTGCTTTTCATGCACCAGTCTTTTTTCAGAAATACTCTTGTTGAGAGACACAAAAATAGTGCCTCACTAGCTCTGTAGCTCCCTTACCCCCGTCAAGATGCTACATAAAATATAGCTTGAAAGATATTTTTGGCTATTAATTTAGTCATGGTTTTTATGAGCGCTGAGGATCATAACTTGTCAGGCTGGGTCTGAATTTGTCTCCTTACTCTGACATTCTCACTGTGTGCAATCTTGGGTGAGACTACATCTCTAATTTCCATTCCTTGAGTTGGAGATTCTAAAACACATAGCCCATAACTATGGTTGTGGCCTGCTACATCTGTTAAAGCAAGTTGGTAAATTGTTACATTTTTTAAAAAGATAATATATACAGCATTCTGCCTGCATGTATCCCTGCAAGCCAGAAGAGGGCACCAGATCTCATAATGGATGGTTGTGAGCCACCATGTGGTTGCTGGTACTTAAACTCAGGACCTCTGGAAGAACAGCCAGTGCCTCTGAAAATACTATTTCCCAAATAGTATTTGATTTGCAGAGCGGTGTGAGCCCTACTGGCTGATAGTGATCAGGAAGAAAATACCAACTGCTGGTCATTATTACAGCCCCATTGTTACACTTTCAAAAAGACGCTGCTGGTGGTGCTGACAGTGGGAATAGCCCTTTTTGAATCACTTTTAATGGCCATAAAGATGCTCATACCTGGTTGATTCCATGTTGAAACTGTATTTCTTGAATCCTACTGTCTTAGACAGAGCTAGGTGCTCTTCATACAGTGGTATATATTATGAGATGTTAACCCCCAAAATAATGATGGTAGGAAAGCTGGTAGTAGCCTGTGATTGATACAGCTAAGTAACCATAACCATACTGTGACATTTTTAAAGCCACTGAAATTAAAGCTTGTTTATAATATTAAAAAGAAGTAGTAGCAGGAGCTGGAGTGATGGTTCCGCAGTTTAAATGTACTGGGTGCTTTTGCAAAAGATTCAGGTTTGGTTCCTAGCACCCAGGATGCTCATAACTTCCTGTAACAACAGTCAAAAAGATGAAAAGGGATGAGAACAAAGAAACAAACAGCTAATCAAGTTTGACTAAGTGAGGGGGGGGGGAGACAGACAGACAGACAGACAGACAGACAGACAGACAGACAGACAGACAGACAGACAGACAGACAGACAGACAGACAGACAGACAGACAGACAGACAGACAGACAGACAGACAGACAGACAGACAGACAGACGGGGGGGGAGACAGACAGACAGACAGACAGACAGACAGACAGACAGACAAGTGAAGAGTGCATGCATGGAGGCCAGAAGAAAGCTTCCATTAAGCACCTTTCACACTCCCACTGTGTCTGAGGTAAAGCCTTCTGTAGTTGCACTGCACATGCTAGCCCAGCTGCCCTGAGCTTCCAGGGACCCTCCTGTCTCTGCCTCCCGTTTGGCCATAGGGATTGCAGACACATGCTACTGTTCCTCAGCTTTCTGTGGGTTCTGGGCAGCCAGCCCCAAGTCCTTACACTTGTGCAGCAAGAGCTCTATTCACCGGGCTATCTCCCTAGCCCTAGCTCAATTTAGTAAAAAATGAAGAGAAAGATAAGTGATTATCTGCTCAGGTTATCAAGGGTAGGGAAGAGTAAAATCAGAATATCTCTTTTAGTTTACAAAGCTTATGATATGTTAATCTTGATAATGATTTATTACTTCTTGTTTAAGAAAATTTTCACAAAACAAGAGTGTTTACCAGAGAGGCCTCATCCCTCCTCCTGGTCCAGCTGGAGAGGACTATTCACAAAGAAAATTCTTCTGGAACCTGAAGCCAAATGGCAGTCAAGCAACCCAGAATAAAAAGTGGACTTCTGGTAGTTACCAGAGACCTTTCTACCCAGCTTACTGGGGATGGACCCAGTGAGGCCCACCTGGCGTGGCTGTTGCAGGGGCCATCTGCAATCAGAGCTGAGCAGAAGACAGCTGAATGACTTTTAATAAAATCAGGTCAAAGGAATTAAACATTTTTTTAAACATTTTTTTAACTTTTTAAAATCTTTGATTACTCTTTAGTGTGTGTTCAGTTTAAAAATGAATTGTATTGCCGATGGATGCACAGTGGTTTTAGGAGTCCAGAACGCTTCTCATTCCAGGCTTCAGCTTTTCTCAAAGATTTCTGAATGGATACACTATTATGAATTCTTTTAATTGCCTTTTATTTTTCCTGTATGTTTCCTCTGCCCATGCTTGTAATATGTGTGTAGGGACAAAGGTTCATAGTGTTTCACCATGCTGTTACTGACACAGTCTTCAAGGGCTTCTTTTTTCCTGACTGTTCAAATTTTCTACTAAAAATCTAGCCAGTAGACAATTTCTTTGCCACCTACTCTATGTTTGTGGGACTATGATCAGTGCTCTTTCCTTGGTGGTTGGTGTTGAAATTTGATCAGCTTCTTACTGAACTACCAGGTCAGCCATTTAACCCATAGAAAGTAGTTTGTTAAGTTAGACAAGATAACCAGCGTGCTGGTTAAATTATAATTTATCTGACAGGTCGAAGTGCTACCAACAGGGTAGAACTGTCCAGATCTAAAGGTTGATCTTAAAGGTTGAGCAGACTAGGTGTCTGGGAAGACAGGGTGGTGCTGACCCTAGGACCTCTGTTAAGGATCTGTCCAGTGCCCCCCCCCCCCCCACTGGAATGGTGCTCATCCTCTGGAACACACTTCAGGCTACTTGGAGGTGCTAATTACTTCAGCTGTAGAAATCACTCAGGAAGTTACTCATCTTGACACGTCATTTGGTGAATGCCTAGGCAACTTGGCTTCCATCTTTAAAACCTCTGATTTTTGAGGATTTGTAAAACTGACCAACTGATGCTACACATGGTAGTTATTTTCTCTCCGTGTATGAACCTGTGGCGCCTGACCCTGGGGAAGCCCAGCAGTTCATCTGTTCTGGCCTGGGCTAATTTGCTCAGTCAGATTGCCCTATGCTCAAGTGATGGCTCTTAAGGTTTGTCTCTACTCACCACATGTAACAGATTCAGAGTGCTTCTTGCTACAAGCCTCCCCTCTACTGCAGAGTTCTTCCCCAGAATGCACTGTGAAAGTGCATTTGTAAGAAACTGGAGGACAAAACTGGGTCAGATGGAGGCCTGCAATCTCTGTGAGGGATGGACCCTTTTGGTTTGACTCCTTCCTGGAGCTTCTTAAATGTTCAGGTTAGGTTCCATGTTCTGTTGGTAGAGTATCAGACAGGCAATGCAATGCATAGGAATTTTCTGTTTCTCATAGTTCTGGATGCAGGGAAAGGTGAAGGAGTCAGCGAGAATTGGTTTTTGTAGATGGCTAGTGCCTCACTGTTTTCATGTGGTCTCTGTGTCTCACTACATCTCTTCCCCATCAGTCCCTGCTTCCCTCTCTGGATGTGCTGAGACAGGCACAGATGCTCTGAGGCTGAGATGCTCCTAGTACTCTTCTCAAGGATGTCAGTCATTAGATCAGGGCTCACCCTAGAGCCTCTTTAAAGACTTGGGTGTCCAAATGCAGTGGTATTTCAGATGCTAGAGCTTAGAGCTTTAACATGGGATTTTGAGGAAGCACCACTGGGTCTAAAGGAAGCACACTGCCCATTGGACACACCTAGGACACAGCTCCTGACCTGGGCTCTCTTCCCTCCTGTCATTTCTTAGAACCCTCTTTAAGTCTCCTGGGTCCCCAGGTACGATGTTGATGACTGTAATTTCCTATTTGATAGCTTCTCAGGGCTGGATGGGATGTAAATGGTTTGAACAGATGAATCACAGAAATGCATCTATTTGATTCTTTCTCTGCTCCTGTGGCTATAGTTTCAGGTGGGCACTTCAGTACATCCGTTCCTGTTTGGGACTTTCACTGAAACCCTGTATCTTCTGATCTAGAACCTTTGTCTGTGCCCTGTGATTTTTCTCTTGAAGTCTTAGGGTCTTCTTTATCTCAGATGTTACAATATGTTTTTTGTCTACAATAATATATACCAAGTGGGCCCTTTCAATCTGGTAAATTGCAAGAAAAATTTTTAAGATTTATTTATGCATCTTGGTATTGTGCCTGTGTTTATGTTTGTGTGAGGATGTCAGATTCTCTGGAACTGGAGTTACAGACAGTTGTGAGTTGTCATGTGGGTGCTGGGATTTGAACCTGGGTCCTGGAACAGCAGCCATTGCTCTAACTGCTGAGACATCTTATTTAATGATAGTGTATTAGCATTAACCCTTAACCCTAAGGCAACTTCTCATTGGACATTGGATTTCTTTCCTGAAACTTCTGATTAAATTATATGTTTTTATTTAACATTTTCATGTTAATTTCTTTTTCTAGTATTTTTTTCTGATATATAGGGCTGGGGGTGCTGGGATTGAACCCAGGGGCTTGTGTGTGCTAGACATGTACTCTATTATTGAGTTATACCTCCAGTCCCCTTCTGATTTATATATCTAAATGATTTATATAACCAATAAAAATATAAAAGAAAAAATATTATGACACATAAATATATTACCTATATGCTTTTTTAAAAAAACAGACCCAGAGTCTCAGTATGTTACCTGAGCTGGCCTTGAACTCCAGGATTACTCTTGCCCCATTCTCCTGAACAGTGGGACACAAGTACAGGCTCCCATGCCCAGATCTAAATTTTGATTTCTAAGAGTTAACTCTTTAGTTGGTGGCGTACGCCTTTAGTCCCAGCACTCGGGAGGCAGAGACAGGCATATCTCTGTGAGTTCCAGACCAGCCTGGTCTACAAGAGCTAGTTCCAGGATAGCCTCCAAAGCCCCCCCCCAAAAAACAATAATAGTAATAATAAACTGTTAATAATAATAAAACTACATTTTATATCTTGACTATTGTGTCTTTAATATACTCACATTATGAGGGATCCCATGTGGGATCCTAATTAAACATCCTTTCCAGTAAAACTAACACTTCCCAGAATTGTATTCTGAAAACAAGTTCATATGTGTTCCTTGCCTCTTGGAAGTGTGAAATGGTTTATGGCCTTGCGGTTCTGAGTTCCTCTCCCTGCCAAGGCTTTCTGTATCTGGCCACAAGCTGACTTTCAAGTCCTTTATTGTGTATTGTGTACCCCTCTGTATGAATGCTAACCATTTTGTGGTTATACTAGGCCATACACTCTTGTCTTTCAAGTAGTTCTTAGGCTGTGATCTGTCCTGTGCTCTCTGAGCCAGCCAGTGATTCATACACAACTGTATGAACCACTCCTAGTCTTCTCCCCAACTCTACCCTCAATGAGTGATGTCTTTTTCTACATACTGTACTGTCATTATTTAATTTATATATCATGCTACTTCAGGTACTGTGTCACCACGTCAGAGTCCCTGAACCCATCCTGTATGACAGTTTCCCTTTGTGCAGGGGAGGGGAGGATACACCCTGTTTTGCCTTCTCAGCACTCCAGAGGCAGAGGCAGAGGCAGAGGCAGGCAGATCTCTGAATTCAAAGCCAGCCTAGTCTAGAGGGACTACCAGGGCAGCCAGAGCTACACAGAGAAGCCCTGTCTTAAAAAACCAAAACTAAATCAAAGATTCCCAAGCCAATTAGGACACTTGACTCTGGGCCTACGTGGTACCTGCACTTCCACACTGAGTCCTCTTTTTATTATATGAGCCCACTTTCAAATAAAGCAGAATGGTAATTAATAGGCCACAGGATCTGTCTTCCTGCCATGCTGACAAAGGGGAAGGTGATGATCCAGAAGGGTGTAAAATCCACTCCCTCTAGGGAGGATAGGAAGAGCCTAGCAGGCAAACAACCTTCCTGTTCTGTGGATTACTTGCATAGTTTTCACCTAATGAGTCTTCCAGAGAAAGTACAGACTAAGAATACCTTGCCAGGCTGCATGGTGTCTTGTCTTACTAAAGCTGGGCAACAAACACATTTTATCATGTGGCCTTGTTCCCTGCTGAAGACCTTTTCCTCACCACTCTGGGTATGTACCTCAGGAAATACCAGGGACTTAATTCTTGCCTCAGGGTCTGCTTTCTAGAGGCCCTCAGGTGTTTTATACATCTGGCAGTCGTGAGCTCTTAAAATTGTTTAACCTTACATGAGTGATAGATCTAGTCTCTTCTACTGACTTAATATCCTACAGACACTTGGATCTTTTGAGAACACCAATGTCAGTTGCATTGAAGGTAACTATCAACAAGGTTTCCTTTGGGCTTATATTTGCATGACATGGGGATTAAGATTATATTTAACATACAGGAACAGCTGTGGATGTCTATGCAAGTTCACCTCACAGCATGCCACTGCCAAGCCTTTTAAGCCAACTTGCATTTGCTATGTAACAGTGTCTCTTGCATCTGTAGGATGAGGGGTCACAGCTCTTGAGATGTCTTTTTAAAAAGAAAATTAAAATATATTCTTTGTATATACACTTTCGTGCCCCCTGACAAAGGAATATACAACAGCCCAAACTCGACCCTCCCAATTCCTCCAGTTTTACAGCTCCTCCCATCAACCCAGCCCCAGGCAACTGCTGATATAGTTTCTTCCTCTTTTTAAGAGGAAGAATCCCAGCTGTGCAGGTGGAATTAACATACAGACTTCTGGGTGGGGTTCCTTTCATTTATTTAACTGCTTTTGAGGTCTGTGCAACAAAAGAGATCTGCTGCTCACTTCCCTCTGTTGCTGAGTTATTCCATTATATGGTTATCCTGCAGATTGTTTATTCATTTACCAGCTAAAAGACACTTAGATATGTGTGTAGTTTTTTGTTTTTGTTTTTTTAAACCTGCCATAGACATTTTATGTACGGGGTCTTATGTGAACATCTCTTTCCTTTGGAGTGGGAAAGTGGGATTGTTGCCATATATGTTTAACTTTATAATAAACTGTCAAACTTTCCCAAACAGATGTATTTTGTATTTTGTATCCCATCAAGAAGAGATGAGTGTTCCAGTTACACCCTTACTGACAATTAATATTGTCAGTGTTATGATAATGCCCTAGGGTAATCTTGTGAATTCCATGGCAGGTGAGGGTGACCAAGGCAGGGGACAAACATGCCAGGCAGACAGAGCTTAAGTGAGAAGTTTTATTAGAAAGGGAAGAGGGTAAGGAAAGAGAATATAGAGGGGTGTGTGTGTGAGACAGAGACAGAGAGAGAGAGACAGAGAGACAGAGAGAGACGACAGAAGAAAAGAGGGAGACAGGAAAAGTCCTGTCTGCCCCAGGGAACAGCAGGAAAGAGAGGGTAAGTGGGCAGGGGTCCTTCCTTTAAAGGGATCCTATGCACCTGCCTGCAGACTAGCAGTCATGGAACCCTGGGCTGACCAGGGAACTGCCTTGAGTGCATTCTGCCAGGTGACAGGGCAGGCCAGCATAATGCCTGAATCCTTACCGTCAGTGTGTGCAAGGCAAGGAATAAACATCAGAGGCACAGTCCACGTTGGGTTTGAGGTGGGTTTGGGGTTGAGTTTTGGATTTTTTTTTTTTTTCCAGTTGTTCAAGACCGGGTTTCTCTGTGTAGCCCTAGGTGTCATGGAACTCTACGTAGACCAGTCTGGCCTCCAAGTTGGAGATCTGCCTGCCTCTGTCTCCTGAGTGCTCCTGGGATTAAAGGCTGCTCCACTACACCCAGAGCTACATTGGTTTTCTTGCTGTTACTATTGTTTTATTTTTAAGACGGAGTATTTTATTGGCATAGAGCTTGCCTGAATAAGCTGACTGGTCAGCCAGTCCCAGAGATCCACCTGTCCCCACTGCCCCATCCTCTTACAGACTGCGATATCTAACTCAAATTTTAGCAATTTTGATTAAATAAAGGTGTTGTCTCACTGTGTTTTCTAAAAATTAAAAGAAAATTGGCATACACTATTTATGTTTAAAGTTGTTTTGGTATATCTCTACATGTATCTATGTATGAAGCCACAATGAAATTAGAACATATCTGTAACCCCTTTCCACCCAGACATTTTTCTTTTATTTTTTTCAGATTTTTGTTAATTTGAATTAGAAACAAGATAGTTTTACCTGCCAATCCCTGTTCTCCCTCCCGTCCTCCCCTACCACCCTCCCCAACTAAAACCCTACCTATCACATATCCTTTCTTCTAATCTTCCCCTGACTCAACCTTTCTGCTCCCTCATGACCTCTGCATCCTTCCTTTTCTCGCCTTCTCATTCTCGTAGCTCCCTCCCCCCCTCTTCCCATGCTCTCAATTTGCTCAGGGGATCTTGACCCTTCCCCCTTCTCCAGGGGACCATGTATGTCTCTCTTAGGGTCCTCCTTGTTTACTAGCTTCTCTGGCAGTGTGGATTGTAGGCTGGTAATCCTTTACTCTATGTCTAAAAATCCACATATGAGTGAGTACATATCATGTTTTTTTTTTGTGATTGGGTTACCTCACTCAGAATGGTTTCTTCTAGTTCCATCCATTTTCCTGCAAATTTCAAGATTCCACCATCCAGATCTTTTTCAAAGGCATTGTAAATTTGTTGTATGTAAATGGAGTCAGTGTGAACTCTTCATGTCTGGCTGCGGGTCATTCAACATCAGTGGGCTCATCCTAGTCACAGGATGTAGCAATACTGTAGTGGCCTGGGATGCCAGAAGAGCCTAGCTTCTGGTCCAGCCTTCCTCAGTAACAGAAGGCCTTTTTATACATTGGTCAAATGTTCATATAGTCATATACACCAATTATAAAAACCCAAGGTGTGTTTTCTGGGCTTACTTGGCTGTGGTGGAAGTGGGGCAAGAGTTGGCAGGATTTCTTCCACTTTGGGCAGCTTTTCTGGGTCATGAAAGGCTAGCTCACAATGGATTCCAGGACTCTGGCATGTCATTGCCTGTTTGTAATTGTATGGGAACATTCTGTCCCACTTGACTTAGAAAAATTGGTAACCGATGTACACAGAACCTGCTTCCCACAAACTTTGGCTTAGGAATGTTTCTACTTTGTGTGTGTGTTTGTGCACATACATGGAAGCCAGAGGACAACTTCAAATAGCATCCTCAGGAACCATCCATCCTTTGTTTCATGTTGTTTGAGCCAGCATCTCACCATGTAACTCTGGCTCATCTGAAACTTCCTATGTAGACCAAGCTGGCCTCAAATTCAGAGATCTGCCTGCCTCTGCCTCCTAGGTGCTGGGATTAAAGATGTGAACACCCAGTCCAGTCTATCTCTTTTTGAGCCAAGTCTCAGAGTAGTGTGGAATTTACCAAGTAAGCTAAACTGGCTGGCCAGTGAGCTGGGAAACAACAATGTTCCTCCCTCCCTTGAGCTGGGATTACAAGTATGCAACACTACACAAACTTTTTTTTTTTT